TCATGCATTTTTTTCCTGTTGTATCCTTGTGATTGAAAGGGGTGACTGTGATTTTTCCTACTCTTTCGTCAGTCTACCCTGATATCGATTCTAAGATTGAAAATCGTGAGCAGGGGATGAACTGCAGGGATTGAAGGGGAGGGGAGAAGCGCCCCGGATTTGCAAGGAGCTGGGAACGGACCAGACAGGCTAGTTGATCTCGATGGATAGTTTCTCTTTTCTTTATCAGAAAGAGAAGAGAGAAAAGAAGCTTTATTAGTGACAAATAGTGCGTGAAGTTCTCTTTGCTTTATCGGAAAGAGAAGAGAGAAAGGAAGCTTAATTAGCAACAGAGATGACTCCCTGGTGTAGGGTACGTTTACATAGGCATGCATAGAGTAAGTGGTATGCATAGACTAAGTGGTGGCATCTGTGGGACATAAGATTGGCATTTATGGCATATCTGTGAGGTGCCTGCATTTGAGATCGATGTGATATGTGCGCTACTGGTGACATTTATATGTGCTTGAAATTTAAATAAATTTAAGCCCGTGTGATTGACTCTATATCTTCAGCCTCCTGATGAGTAGATAGATAGTTGAAACTCCGACGAAACAGTTTGTCACAGCCCCCCTCGTTTCTTGTCCTCTTCTCCCTCCTCTGCCTACGGTTTACAGTAGGCAGCTCTGTTTGACGATATATATATAATATATATAATAATATATATCCATATATATTTACATATATATCTGTATATCTCTATATATCGGTGTCATACTAATGGGAGATAGGTAGATCTTATTACTGAAGTGTGGATGGAGACTTTCCAATGCATCCACTTGGCCATCTAGTTGTTATCTTGAGTGTTATGCCGTGATTGGTGTGCACGAGTGGATTTAATTCCCCAGTTATGATTATGAGCCCATTTTGGTTATAGAACGGTACGGTACCCACAGGCAGCTGAGGTCGATAGGGTAGATTATGGTGTGTTCTTTTGTGTGGTCTTCGTTGTGTGATGCCATGAATCTGTCTGTCGTGGAAGACAGACGGACCGTAATGAGAGGTGCATCGAAGGATAAGGAGCACAGGCATGATATCCCCGTGCAGAGAGACGGTGGAACAGTTGGCAGGAGAGAGCAAGTGCGAGCTAATCTCTCGAGATAAGCTCTACTTTTATTAAAAAAAAAGCTTTTTTTGGGCGAGTTCGAATCTGATGTTATCATGTTCGGATTTGAAGAGAAGATTAAATTTTGAAGATAAACTAAAAAACTGAAATTTGAAGAGAAGCTAATCTCAAATACGACGAGGAAGATAGGCCAAGCTGGAATTGGAAGATAAGCTAAATTGGAAGGTACGCTAAGTTCGAATTTGAAGATTGGCTAAGAGATCGATTTTTTTTTTTTTTTTAAGAGATCGATTTTGAAGATAAGTCTATAAAGCTTTTTTTGCCCC